CCTACACTGAACTAAATCACTGTCAGGAAGTAAATTGCACCTTCAGACCTCAGCAGGTCTATGGATTTTCCTGAACTGCTCTTCTACATAGCAAAATAGCACAAAGCTCCTGTGAGTGGAAGCAGAGGAGCTCAGAGTGACGCAAATACACCTTAAAAGATGTCACTAAGGCAGGGCTGAGCTGCTAAGGACACCTAGAGACAGCTCAGGGCTTTGCTGCATCAGAAGTGCCTTTCCAAACTTCCATTTCCCCCTTTACAACTGGATTACTACAAGAGCATGAGACAGGATAAGAAGAAATATGAGTAAGTGTACGAATAACTGAGAACAAAGCCCAACTCCACATTTTATAATCAAAAATACCTTTGCCTTCTAGGATGCGTTGCCTGGACTCAGTTATTTAGGCTGAAATGCAGCAGCTTCACACTTGACACTTAAACTGAAGAATAAAGCATAAATCTTGTTCACCTGAGCCTGACAACTCCTTGAGTACTCCTTAGCTTTCCCTTGAGGCCTTGGAAAGCTGTGAAACACAGCAATGTGCTCCCAACACCTCCTCAGCTCATACTACAGAGTGTTATTGTCACCCTCTGTACTGCTCTTAAAAGTGACAAACTACATCAAGTGTTCTCACTTGAGCTGCACAGACAAAACCACTCACTGTAAGCTTCTGCATTTATCCTGAATTAAATCCAATGTCGATTCACATAAAACTGTTAGTAACATTTCTCTTGAACCACTTTTGTGCAGTAAAGTGAATTAAAACCAGGTGAATCTGTGACATCCTCCCCCATCACTTCTGTCCTCAGAGTGAAACAATTTGAAAGTCAACTGAAAAATGGTGGACCAAAAATATCGCTATAGATTTTTCATAGCTGATTTATTAATTAGATATTATGCCTTTAACCCACTGCTACAGGCATGAAATATAGTACAATATTCATTATAGTACAATATTCATTACACTCAAAAGCATTTTCCAGTCTTTCTCAATGGCTTTCCAGGGAAGGCTTTTGTGGATACAACATGTAGATCTGGAGTTCCTTTACCAAGGGAACAGGAAGTACATCTTTGAGCCTCCACAAAATATTAACATGTGGAATAATCTAGAATAATAGATTGAATAACAAAACATTCAAACCATTGTGCCAAGAAGATTAAGACAGGGAAAACCCTCCCGATGTGCAGCAATTAAAGCAACAGCAGTAGGTATTTTACCAACTAATCCAGCAAACTTCACTTAAACCTCTCCCCTCTCTGAACATCTTTCCTTACCAGTTGTCTCCAGGTTTCCAATGGATAACCCTCAAGTTTACACTGCAGAAAGTGCAAGGGAAGAGCACTCAGGGATGGGAGGAACTTGTGGAACTTATACTGCAATACTTGAACCAGGAATTTAACTAGAAGATTATCTATAAAATGCTAATTCAGAACTATTATCTGGGGGTACAGTGGTAGTTATCATGCTGATTTTTGTGATCATGGGATCAGTTTGTGATGTTTAGTTATGTTTTGGGGACTTTTTCCTCCCCAAAGGAATATTTTTTGCCTTGATTAATGCACTGTTACTCTGTCAGCATCTCTGCTCCCTCCCCACCAGTGGCATCCTCAGAAATATGGAGATCCTCCAACATTTCAGCCAGGCTGATCCGTGGAGGTCCATCATCATCTGTGTCACTCTCCACTGGGATATCTGCATCTAAAAACACAGAAAACACTCATAAATCACCTAAGAAAAGCAAACAAACCCCAAACCACCTCACCAACCACCAAACCACAAACCCAACAAACTCCTAAACCTCAACAACCTCATGGCAATTCTCCTCATGGAAGACGCTGGATGAAATAAAATCCTGAGCCCAGCACTGGGTACAGGAGAAAATATGCCTCATGCTAAAGGCAAGGAAAAAAACCCCACTCATAAATCACCTAAGAAAAGCAAACAAACCCCAAACCACCTCACCAACCACCAAACCACAAACCCAACAAACTCCTAAACCTCAACAACCTCATGGCAATTCTCCTCATGGAAGACGCTGGATGAAATAAAATCCTGAGCCCAGCACTGGGTACAGGAGAAAATATGCCTCATGCTAAAGGCAAGGAAAAAAACCCATCACCAGGTGAAGGA